ATGTTTTTACAATCTCTATGGTGCACGAGTTTGTAAAATATGCCTCGAAAGGGTTGAGATCCCTAACAAAATGAGGCTATCGAAAGGGCCAATGAAATGACTGAAAGCTGCATAGTTACTTCAGTGTGCAACTTACTGTATAGGAACCATCTGAGAATTTCTGAAGAATAATGACGAGGTTCCTCCCTGTGTCAATCTATTTTTCTTATTTAAGCCCTACTTTTGTACAGGCTGGTATATTAAACCTATCTACTAACTTAGTGAGATTTTTCACGAACTTGAGATAAATTTGAAATTCGCAAAAGATGGTGAATCGTTCTACGGGCAGGTTTAAGCCTATTTGCTTTTTCGAACCATGTCAAGTATTGAAGCTTCTAATTCACCCTGTTTAGGGAGAGTACAGGATTTCTCTCATTACTCAGCACGGGGTTCCAGAAGAACGATTGTCCTGTCACCGGAAGCTTCAATAGGCTGTCTGGATAACTGCCGGATTGAGTCGATTATTTTAGGGTGTGGAAGCAGTTTTTCGGTTCTGCCACATTCTTTTCCCCCTCCAAAAGTAACCCGCCTCTTGCGACCCGATAAAGCCTTGCTCGGCCACTTTTTTGTTTGAGTTGGCTTGCTAACCTCCCACAGTTTAAAAACACTTTTTTTTTTTGTCGTTTTGATCGTTAGTTTAATATCCCCAGTTTCAAGTCAACCACGTGCTAATAAAATTAGAATCTATAGATGTACGTTTGATATGAAATTCAATGCTGATGTGCCAAGAGGATATAAGATTCTTTCACTACCCTTTGAAAATCTAACAATTGTAAAACGCAAGACAAATTGCAAAAAGCAGGAAAGGTTTGTATGGAGTGTTACTACTTGTAAGATTCAATAATATTTGATCTGTGTAAAGCACAAGTTGGAATCTTTCTTTGTCCAAACTAATCTTTTAAGATGGACGATATCTAGGAACTTATTGGTAATAAACGCACGGTCTTTTAAAAAGCGTCTAACAAAGGATTCGAAGTCTAGCTGCAATTTTCAGTGGTAATCCTTTTTTTTTTAAAAAAAGGAAGTTTCAATTCTGATTAAAACCTCGGTCTTAAATAAGAAGAAATAATTGCCATTCGTTATTAGATTATGTGGTCTTTATTAATCGATGGCAGGCCAGTAATACGTCTTCTCTCTGTCCCTAACTCCTCCTCCTCGCCAGCTTTGACGCGAGTATTATCTTCATCCACCCAACCCCCATGGTTAGAATTCTTGGTCAAGTCTCTCCACCGCCCTCTCCCCATTTTCACTCTCGTTCAAGTCCACCTTTTTTTAAACGATCTTTTCTTCTTGCAAACAAAGAATATTTCACTTGTGATAACTAAAGGATGTTAACCGCTGTCGCTTTCTCAAATGTATCCAAAAGGATATTTGCATTTGAACGTAATATCGAATAAAGAATTTATGTAAAAATAAGATTCGGAAATGTATGAACTGCAGTATCTGCATTGTCCGTTGCTTGCCTTGTGTTACTATTTTGTTTCCTTTCAGATTAGAGGTATCTTCAGTAGTTTGCTATACTGATTTATTTTTTAAATTGCTGCGATATATTTCAAAGTTTAATATAGAGGTGCGAAAAGCTGGTTAACCATTTCTAGGATGTAATTTTTAAAAGGTTTGAGATTATATAAACTGTGTCCTTAAATTGTAATGTACATTTTAATGAGTGCCACTTGGCTGAGTTGATTATACATTTTTAGTTCAGATGGGTTTGAGGGCGACAGGCTAATAATTTTGTATAATGTTTGTTGCTTTAGCAAAAGCCTTGCCTGTGTGATATTAAACCACGATCTGACTGCTCGCCTAAAAGTAATGTTCCACTGCTCAACTTAGAGCAAGACGTTCTCCCAGAGTCCTAACCAACATTTCTTAACCTGTTTGGCCAACAGGTACTTCATTGTATTGTTAGTTCATGCATGATAGGATCCAAATTAATTCTAATTCATTTGTGTGGCATTATTAGAAAAAGTTGGGATTCAGGCCCATCCCAGCTGTCCTGAAAAGATGGTGTTGGGCTTCCTTAACACTGCTTTCCCTGCAAACTGGGCTCATTCAGAGGTGGGCAGGCTGGCTCAGTATGGGAAATTTCCAACATTCAACAGTGTAACTGAACCAATTCAACTTCATACTACTTTTTAAACTTTAGATAAAAGTCCATCTACAGCTTTGTTTCTAGTCTTCAAATTACAAACTTAGTATCAGAACCACTACCACATGCCCTCTCTGCATAATAGTGACTGCACTAAAGTGTTCTAAAGCATTCTAAAGTTTGCAATCTAAATATCAATTTTACTTTGGTTATTTTGCAGCTTTTCTTTGAGAAGGAACTTAACTACAGTGTCATCTGAAAGGAATTAAAATGCTAACTTCAAAGGGATTGGCTTTCTGTTGCAGGATAGATATTCTGAATACTTACACACTCCTTATTAGTTACTTATTCAGTCATAGGTAGTGAGTTTCATGCAATGGCTTCCTTTCCCACCTACATGCAGTTACCTCAAGTCTTCCATAGATCTCTGTTTAGCTTTGACCTTGCTTATCTATATCTAGATCCTTGGTTATATCTGCTGAGGCTATGCCAAATTGCAGTTTTATAGTTGCCATTGCTTTCACTTCTTCTAAGATGTCCACTACCGTGGCTTGTCTAAAGTTTTGTTAAATAAGCAATGGAAAATTCAAAACTTGCCAATGGCCAAACATATTATGTTGGAAGGCAAAAATAAAGTCTTGAGTGCCTAAGCTTCAGATCTTGGCCACCAATGTAACGTGAGGGAATATTACATTACTCCAAAGAAGGCTTGTTCTTCAGGAAACGTCTGCTTGTTCAACTGGTTATTAGAAATGACATAACATTACTCAACAAAGATCAAACGGTTAAGACCATAAAACACAGGAGCAGAAACAGGCCATTCATTTTGTGATCAAGGTTGATCTGATAATCCTAAACTCCACTCTCCTATCTCTTCCCCATAAATAACCCTTGATTCCTTTACTGGTTAAACATGTCTGTCTCAGCCTTAATTATACTTATCGACCCAGCTTCTACAGCTCTGTGCGGTTAAGAATTCCACAGATCCCTTATCCTCAGAAGAAATTTCTCCATCTGTGCCTTAAATGTGCATCTGAGAGTATGCCATTCTAGTCTTGGAGTTGGCCACGCTGGGGAAACGACCTCTCTGCATCCACCTTGTCAAATCCTCTAAGATTCTTGTATGTTCAATAAGGTGCCATCCATTCTTTTACATTCCAATGAGTACAGACTCAATGTTGTCACGTAAGACAGTGCCTCCATACCTGACATCAACCTAGTATACTCTCTGGACTGCCACTAGTGCCTCTATTCTTTTCCTTTATATAAGGGACACAAACTAGTCATGTTATTCCAGCTATAGTCTGACAAGCACCTTTGTATAGTTTTTAGCAAAACCTCCCCACTTTTATATTCTATTCCTTTGGCCTTTATTTCAATGTTCAATTACCCTGAACTTGAATGCTAGCTTTCTGTCCTCCATGCATAAGGACATCCAAATCCCCCCTGTTCTGTAACTTTCTTCAGCCGTTCTCCAATTACATGATTTCCAGCTTGCCCCATCCTCCTGCCAAAGTGCATAACCCCTCATTTTTCCACATTACATCCCATCTTCAAGTTTCTATTCACTTGCTTAACCTGCTGTATATCCTGCTGCACACCACCATCCTTAGGGCTTGTTTTCCCACCTATTTTTGTTTCATCGACAAAGGCGGCTATCGTCCATTTGTTTTCCTCATCTAAGTCATTAATATATATTGTCAATAATTGTGGCTCCAGCATGGATCCTGTGGCACTCCACTAGTTACATATTATCCAGAAAATGTTCTTCACCCTCCCCATCCTGTCTGTCTTCTATTAGTTAGCTAATCATCTATCCATACTAACATACTGCCTCCAACACCATGAGCTTTCATTAATTGGCCTACTGTGTAGTATCTTTTCAAATGCCTTCTGAAAATCCAAACAAATTCACTGCTTCCCTTTTACTTATCTTGCTTGCTACCTCCTCAAAGAATCAAATTTTTCAGGCATGATTTGCCTTTCATGAATCCATGCTGACTCTGCTTGATCCTATTATGCAAATCTAAATTCTCTGCAATTTCATCATTTATAATAGACTTTTTCCCAATAACAGACATTAAGGTAACTGACCCATCATTGTCCTTTTCTTTGTCTCCTTCCCTTTTTAACTTGACACTTGTCCAATCCCCTGGGATTTTTCCAAAAACTAAAAATTCTTGAAAGATTACTACCATTATCTTGATATTGTAGCTAGCATTCTTCTTTCAGCCAAAATACCAGCAAAATTAAAATAAAAGCTATTGCCCCAAAACAATACTGGTACTTTTTGAAATGTAGTAATTTTTTATAAAGAAAATGTTACAAGCATTTGAAATACTGCATCTTTTCCAAGTAAGTCACTGTGCAAAAGCAAAAGCTTGTAGCACAAGAGCTTAAACGTGTTATGACCGAGCAAGGACGGAGTAAACTGGTTTCTTTTCCTTTCACCGTTGGACTGCCAGCAGGTTTTTTCGAGTTTTCAAAGGAATCCTGGATTGATAATTCAGTATGTACTTGACTGCAGGTTATAAGAATTAAAATAGACAGCTATTCTCGAGTTAAACATAAGGGATTGGTTGAAAGTCTTACTGCTGTTGGGATGTACTCAGTTGTTCTCCGAGGAACAGGGCTCAGAACTTGGAAGGAATATTGTAGGGGCAGAGCAAGGTGACCATCCTGGTGCAGTTAGTATTAATCTCTGCAAGTTCAAGTCCAACACTGACATATGCAAGCAGCTGGGTCATGCTGCCTCAGTCTAACTTGGTCAACAGCAGTTCAAAGAAATCAAGTATGAGTTCCAGAGCAAGGCTGGTTAACCCCTGTCTGGGTTTTCATCATTTTAGAAATGGTGGCTAATTTTTCATTTCCCTGCCATTTGACACCTGAATGATCCACCCTCCATCTCGATGACACAGAAAGAAGCCACTCGCCTCCAGGCATGTTATTTTCTCTTTTGGATTCTCTGTGGTCTTTCCATCTCACTGGGTTGTATGTGGCTTCACAGATGCAATTGAGTTTTGGCCTTCTTAAAAGTTTAGCCAATTTTTATTTTCCAGTTTGTTTTAAAATGTCTAATGTATGAAGCCAGTTGCTTAAATTACAAGTTGCTGTTTTATATAGCACATCTTCATGACACCTGTTATCAATTTAAGCTGTGACTTCAGCTGTCAAAGCCTTAACCTTTGGAATTCCTTTCCAAATGCTTGTTGCCTCTCCTTTTGTTTTTCTCCTTTAAGATGTACCTTTAAACCTTTTGAGGTTTTTGGTTAATATCTCCTCTTAACATCCCCTTTATCTTGGTGTCAGATTTTGGCTGATTATGCCACTGTGAAGTTCCTCGATGTTTTACTGTGATGAAAACTACATGTAGAGGAATACTGGAATCTAGAGATTTGAAGGTGCAAATCTTTGCAGGAAGCAAGAAAAGTTGATATAGCATTTAAAACATTATACGCAATCAATGAATTTATGAAAATGCATAGAATACAAAAACGAGAAAGTCATTCTAATCTTTTGCAAAGCGTTGATTTGGACCCAGCTGGAGTATTTTGTCTGGGAGCCGCACGTTAAGAATAATGCTAAAAATTCCAAAATGGTGGCAGGGCAGCAGCTTTCAGACTTCTGTTCAGCCGCTGCTTTCTTTTGTCCATTTCTCTTTTATTCTCTTTTCTTTCTACCTTTCTTTGTCTACAGTTCTCTCACTTACTTTTTGCCC